TCCCCGCCTTCCCCTCCCCCGGCTCCCGAGGGCGTTGCGGAGGCAGCGGCGGCGGCAGCATTCTTCTGCTGGGCAGCCTTCAGGGCCGCTGCTTCCGCCTCCAGACGCACCTTGCGGCTGCTCAGGCCGGGAATCGACTCGCCTGTGCACCGGGTCAAAGAGAGAGGGGCATGACAACGTGAGGGGATGCGACGCAGGTAGCCCCCCCCCTACCCGACCCGACGCCTTTGCCCTCCCGCCGCGTTTGATTCCTCACCCAGCTTCAAGAGCAGGGCCCTCCTGGAGGGAAAATCGGGGTGGAGGGGCGCGCCTGTGATCGGGTCTTTGAGCTCCACCCGGACGCGGCCGTAGGAGAGCCAGTCCCGCGGGTACCTGGGGGGGAGGGAAGTTGTTGTCGCGCGCAGGCAGTCTTAGTGTTGGTGTCAGTAGTGGGGACGGTAGGCCCACGACCAGCCCGCAGGGGGAGGAAAGCGTTGGTCAGGCTGAGCAAGCCAGGTGTGTCCTGCCAGCGCTTCATCGCCTCCTGTCGCCCATCCCTCCTCCACCACTCGGCACTACCCTCCTGTTCATGACATCGATGCCCGTCCCGCGCCTCCTCGTCGCCCAGGCCCTCGGCCCACCCACCTTTTGTGCTGCTCAACAATGTGCGCGAGCTCCCACTGGACCAGCAGGTCCGAGATATCGTGCACCGACGGGTTGGGGCATGCCTTCTCTTTGGGTATCCGCCGGCCTTGGAATAGTGTTTTTTCTGCATCCAGGTAATTGGGCCACACTGTCACGAAGGTCTTGAAGGGTAACAATCAGGGAGAGGAGAGAGAACTGTGTGAAAAGGGAGACCTGTACAACTTCACAAGAAACATAATCCACGCAATTTCTTCTCTAGCATTCTTGTCATCGATAATCACAGCCATAACAACCTTGCTGTCCTCTAGCAATTGCTCTTGATCTCGAGGCCTGGAGCCGGGATAGGCGACTATGGCGTGTTGATCGTGCAGGTGCATCTGGTCGATAGTCTGTTGCAACTCTTCCTGTTCGCATGTGCATGAATGAGCGTGTGAATGCCGCTCACTGCATCGCAGGGCCTGAGCAGAGAGTCCTGACGGTATGCAATTTTGAAAGGTATCCCTTCAAAGCGAGCTCACTTGTGTTTCTCCGTTGCCTGATGCCTTCCTCCCAACCTCATCCCCGCACCCCGTACCACACTTACAGGCGTCATGCCCAGTGCCTCTGCCTGTGACACAGCTGCATTCATCGCAGCGCTGCTGATGCGCTCTTCCTCCCTTCGCTGCCGTTGCATTGTGTGTAAACTCTCCCTAGACGGCTGTGGAGTGGTGTTGTGGAAGGAGATACACGAGTGAATACAAAGCAAGTAGACCTCCCCGTCGCCGCCATAATTTATCCCCGCATTCGAAGACAAGGAATCATCATTCCAATAGGGCATGGTCAAAGCATGTGCGAGGCCGCTTTCCCCGTAAATGCGGGGGGTGGGCGAGACAAGTGGAGCCTGAGCTTGCCGGCGATAGGCGAGGGCATGGAAGAAAACGCTCTGTTCGCTTTCCTGCTGTCCTGCGGCACATTTCACGGAACGCATGACATGCCTGGCAGCTTTTTCACAGGGACGGCAAGGGCTTAATTGAAAAGTATGCGGAAAGATTCCATCCCCAGACATCATTTTGGGACCGTTTGTGAAAGGCGGTAGCATCCTCTGTCACGCGGCTCAAGAGGCTCTGCCAGGCTTGTTCCTGACATGATACTGCACGGGCCCTACTTGTTGCATCGTGTGGGTGCATTCCACATTACCTGCATCGCGAAGCCTCTTGCGATATCTCTTACGAGAGGTTGCAATGGCATGGGCTTTGAATGTCCAGTTTGTTCACGGGCGCTTTCCAGCGTTTAGGCTCGTGTCGTCCCCTCTGTTCCATAAGGGTCTGAGGCTTGATTGATGAACGTAGCATGTGCGAACACTTGCCATTAATTGGCCTACCCGCGTCCCTTTTGTCGCAAAACGATTTTAACAAGCAACAGTTGCGCTTATGTAACCTTTGGCATTGTGGGATCCGAAAGAGTTTGAAGACTTTAAACTCCCTGAAGCACGGTCTCATATGCCCCCCCGCACTCGGCCGATCCTTTTTTTCCCGACAGAAAGAAGCAGGAGGGACAGCATGCTCTTCCCAAGAGGGACTCACTGTCTGTCCTGCAGAAAGCGTGGGTTTTATATCGGACGCCTATTCTCCGTGCTGGCATTCGCCTCCTTGGCGGCGCCCTCCCTTGCCCGTCCGCGCCACCATGTGGAATACGTGCCATCTTTGCCCATTTCGAGTGGTAACGCCGTCGTGAGCAATGCCATGGGTGTGATGGAAGGCGCTGGTGGAATCGAGGACGAAACCAGTCGACTGCAGAGTACGTTTGATGAAGGAGGAGGCATTTGCAGGAAGGAGGAAGAAGAGAGAGACAGCGGGCTCGGCCTAGGAAGCGGGGGCATACACGCACATGAATAGAGAATAAGGCATCTGAGGGACGCGTCGCAAGAAGGGACTCACCAATTCTCCACCCTGACCCCTCTCCGATCCCCCCAGTCCAAATCCCTCGCGACCTGTTCAAACCTGACGGCTACAACCACAAGGAGGCGCTCTTTGGGATCCCGGTCTACGGGTGCGGGGGGGTGCGGGGGAGGGCGGAGCCAAGGGTCTAGATCAGAGACTCACATTGCCAGGCGCTTGAAACGT